CTCCTGCTGGTTTCTCTCCCACTTTTTTTTATTTTATTTTTTTATTATTATTACCTGTGCTTCTTTCCGTCTTGCTTTTCTTTCTCCGTCCTTCTTTTTAATTTTAAATAGCGAAGGTAGAACTCTCTTCTTCGTTCTCCATATTTTACATTTGTAACCCACTATATTATCTCGGCGCCTCTTATCTCCTCCCTCCCTCCCTCTCTTCCTTTGGGTTCCCCCTCATCGCACTTTCTCTCCCGTTACACTTTCATCATTTATTCCCCTCCCCCTTTTCGCTGGCTCCCCGCATTCTTTGTTTGCTTCAAGCTTGTGTGTGGGGTTTGAGAACCGACGATACCTACTCAGAAAAAAGCTGCAAATTGTATCCCATTGCCACTTTCGCGCCCTGATACGGTCCCCTCTCGCATACTACCATGGCGAGCGACCAGAGCAAAAAGCCTGCCGTGCTGATTGTTGGAGGACTCGGTATGTACATGCGACAGATAATACTGCGGCTCGTGGTGATGCAAGGGGGTGCATGAGCTAACCCAAACGTCTTGCGTTTCGCAGGGTTCATCGGTCGTCATCTGGCCCTTTACATACATGAAAACAACCTGGCATCGGAAGTGAGAATCGTCGACAAAGTCCTTCCTCAACTGGCTTGGTTAGCCCCTGAATTCCAGGAGGCTTGCTCTAAAGATAAGTTCGTTCAAGCGGACGCTAGCCGGGAACGTGAGTGCACTCGACATCTCTAGGAATCCTGAACAAGCAATGGACGTCCCATACTGACACCGCCTTGCTATCTAGAGCATTTCCCGCGTGTCTTTGATCGGGCCAACGGCGAACAATTTGACTACGTAATCAACTGTGGAGGCGAGACAAGGCACTCACAACCCGACGATGTATATGAGCTTCGCAATTACAACCTCACCGTGGCCTTAGCTCGTGAGGTGGCCCGTCGAGGAATCCGTTCTTATGTCGAATGCTCCACCGCCCACGTTTACAAGTCCGCATCATCGCCACGGAAGGAGGATGACAAGCTCCAGCCATGGCATAAGCTGGCAAAGTGGAAGATGAAGGCTAGTGACGAAATCAGCAAAGTCCCTGGCCTCAACTATTGCTTATTGCGCCTGCCACATGTTTACGGAGAATACTGCTCGGGCTTTTTTGCCATGGGAGTATGCCTCGCACGAGTACATCTTGAAATGGAGAAGGACCTAGAGCTTCTTTATACCGGAGACGTCAAGATGAACACCCTATACGTCAAAGATGCAGCCAGTGCCCTGTGGAAGTCCGCCGAGTGGAGGGCAACCGCTCCGACGGACGGTTCGGCTCCCATTGCTTTCAACGTGGTTGACCACGGCAATACTCGTCAGCAGGACATTGCCGATGCGCTATCTACTATATTTGGTCTCAAGTGCTCATTCCTGGGATCGTTGGTCTCGCAGTTTGCCAAGCTTAACCTCGACGATGTGATAGACGACATGAACGAGGAATGTCTGCAGGTCTGGGCAGAATTGATGGAACAGAAAAAGATTGACGCCCAGGTCCGATCAGCCCTTTCCTAGAGAGGGACGTATTCAAGGACCAAGACATGTCCCTTGACGGCACACTTTTTGAGAAGACAACCGGCTGGAGACCCACCCGGGAACGCTTCGATGCGGACGGCGTACGCGATATGGTAGAGAGCTACAAACGGATGGGCTGGTGGCCATAGATAGGCCCATCATACACCACGAAGCTCTCACTGTCAAGTCTTCAACACCTCTTCACTTTGATCAACCTTGGCCTAAAGTCACAAAAAGTATGATGGCATTCAATAATGACGACCCATTCACGACCGCTGTTGTACCTTCGCCTGCACTGACGACGGATATCTGCATTGGAATAAATCACTCTATCTGAAAATTCGAGCGCATAGACCACCTCTCGCCCCTGTTAATCATCCACCTCGAGCCGCCAAATGTTGCCCTGTACTATGTATGGTCACCGCTCTACTTGTAATCTATAATATCCTTTCTTTGGTCCAACCAGGATCTGTTCTTGAGCGCCGGTATGTTCCAGCTAGTTTTCTGATATGCTTGTGTTATGTTCAATATCCTTTTTTTCTGATCATGGGCATCCTGCACCTCTAGACTCCTGCACCGCTTGCATGTGAATGACTTGAGCTTTGCTTTCGCGGCTCTGTTTTTATTATTCTGCATTGGAAATACATGTTGCCAACAGGATCTCGAAACTACTCTTCTAGACCACTTTACTCCATACTTACCACCTTCGCCAACTGTACTCTCCTGTACCAATACCATGAGTTGGGTTAGTCTTAAGAATGGAACTCTCCAAAGCCCTCCTGTTGAGCATTTAAGTAGTGTGTTTTGGCTACAGGCTGCGGTCGTTTCAAGTTTATTTTATCGACCGACCAGAAGAGAATAGCACTTCGTCTGTGGACCGTGTGAGCCAGGGTAATGTGGCCCCGTTCGCCTCGGAAGCCCACAGAGAACGAAAGAGCAGTGGGCATCGCTCTATCTCTACATACTTAGTCTCGCCTCTAGCTTAAACTCAGCGTCGGGCGGGACTTTCCTTCCTGATTTCCGAAATCCTAGTCAATACGCACTCCTAGTATTCCCTGAAAACGCATATCCAATATCGTAATCATATATACGGAGTATAAAGTGGACTAATTAATAGTCGACATTATAGCTATATTTCCAATCCATTAGGGTCAGATCTGTAATAAATCTACGGTTCACGGTTAACTATCGTATGGTATTTATTCCTCATCCGTCGAGTGATGATCAGCATACATTAATTTAGATTAAGTATATATTAATATACCCTTGATATATGTAGTATTGACCAGGTTCTCGAATTATGCAGGTTGTCAGTATTGAGCTTTACCAGAAGTACGAGGGACTGCTTTGGTTGGCCAATCTACTGTCCACATACATCCCTCAGGGAATTCATTATCCAAGGAGGGATATAGATTGATTCACACAGGAAGTGGATGAGTGAAATTTGGCTCAACTGCCTACATAATAATTCATTTTGTTGGAGCCTTTTTATTTTAGTTTAGTTTATTTTTACTTTTTTTTTTTTACCTGGAGCAAAAGGCATATTGGTAGTCACTGGTATTCAGGTCCAGCGTTAAGAGACCTAGTTCTATGTCTACATTCTGCTTTGACTGCTGGCAGTGTTCTAGTGTTCAAGACATTGTAGGTACTGCTGACTTAGTGGAGTGCACAGGATGACAAGAATATACAATATTGTATTCTGCAGAAGTCGCTGCTAAGCTCTATCCATCTTGATGAGTTTCCAGGTCCGCAGACCTGTGTATTGCTTGGTATATGGTAGTGCTTCCTCTTTTCGTCTTCTCTTCTTCTCTGTTTCTCTTTGTTCTTTTCTCGCTGGCGAGTCTGAAGAAATGCTGTACATATAACAGAGCAAAGCAATGATAGAAGTAAGTATACCACAGATGTTTGTGGCTCTTGCAAGCGTATTCCAAAAAAGCCAATTTGCTTTGGAAATTGACCTCAGAAAGATGAAAGGAGATATCGAAACTAGAACATGGGACATATATCACAGCCCTTCTATTGCCACAAGGGTGGCCGAGAAGGGAATAGAAGCAACTAAAGATAAAAAGGACACGGAAATAACGAGATGCAGTGCCGTGTAAAACTTTCAAAATTCGAGTTCTGCTGGGGAAGGAATAATCTAGAACTCCCAGTCCTCCTCAACGGACTTGATAGCCCACTCGAACTTCTCACGCAACGACTTGGAGAAAAACTTCTCAATTGGGACGTTGAACTTCTTGCTGAAAACAACCGTGAGACGAGGATCGATATAGTTCTGCACGTTGTTAGACAGCCTATCGATGCGAGTCGGGGCAGAGGAAACTTACAATTTTGGACGTGCCGAGGGCCACTTCTTTGTTATCTTCCTTGTCCTGAGCCTGCAATTCCATGGTCTCAATACGCTGTTCAAGTTTCTGGATGGCATTCTCAAGCTTGTCGACTGTGGGACCTTTGCCTTCAGCTTCCACTTTCCCTGTCTTGTTCTCTTTGTTGAACTTCTTCTCCATGTCCTTGACTACTTCCAGCCGGTTATCAAGTTCCTTGGCCTTCATTTCCTTCTCCCCTTCTGCCGCAAGCTTCTCGTTATCCTTATCGAATTTCTTCTGGATCTTTTGGCGTTGCTCTTCGAGTAAGAAAGCCTGGTGCTCTTTGACCCACTCCATGTCAATATCCTCGTCCATTTCGAAGAATTTAGCGCCCTTCTTTTTCTTAAGACTAGGCTCCAGATCAAGCATCTGCTGCTTGAGACGCCATCTTTGGTAACGGAGACCTTTGATCTGCGCAGTGGAAGGGGAAATCATCAGCATTCTCGGCGGCTAAGATCTAGGTCGTGTATGTGATACTTACCCTTTCGCCCATCTTCTCCATTTGATTAGCGTGAGACGCGGTCACAGTTCGCTTGTGGTTACAGAGAATGGCCACTTGACGGTTGGCATCGTTGTACGCCTTGACCTTCTCTGCAATGGTGCCAGTCGCTTTCATCTCTTTGAGCAGTGTACTCATCGTGTGTGAAGCATTGTAGGTACGGAAAACTTTCGCCGTCAAGCCCTGCATATAGTTCGAAAGGTGCTTGTTGAGCGCAGATGTCTACAGAATGTGGATGTCAGCAAGCATTTTAGTGAACAAAGGCAAAGCAACCTACCGTTAACCGATCGAAGATCTCATCGCCTGGACCCTTAGGATGTTTCTTGAAGATCTTCAGGTTTTTGAAGACCTGGGCATCGACCTCGACTTCATCGTAGAATCGGATGCTGTCCTTACCCAAGAAGTCGAAGATAACCTTGTTTGGTGGCTTGAGCGTGACGTGGTCGTACTTCAGCGAGCAACAGCCGACTGTTTCCGCTTCATCCTCGCCCTTTTCATTACCAGCACGAAGGGCAAACTGATCTATCAAGTAGACGGCCGTGGCTTTTTGTCTCTCCACCATCAGCTCGCTCTTCATATTCTTCTTGTAATCCTTGCGAATCTTATCAATGTGATGTTTCAATTCACGAGCCTTTTCGAACTTCTTGTAATCGCTCTGGCCCTTAACATCGGAGTTTGCGGCAAGCATCACATATTTGTAATTGCCATTGATGTTCTCTTGCCACATTGCAAGCCACGTGCCCTCTCGATCGTGCTTGACTTCTTTCCAACGGTGGCCCTCCGGCGGTGGAGGTACAGGGGCGTCTTTTCCGATGTTGATGGTAATTTGCTCAGGCTGAACTCTAGCCTTAACACGTCCCGTCTTGGGATGCTCACCACGGCCGCGGAAAAGAGACGGGGGTTCAACACGGAAGTTTCCAACCTTCTGCTTTCGGCCATCCCACATGCAGTACGTATAGGGGGCTTCTTCAGCATCTTTTTCAGCCTTCAGGCGCTTCTTCTCAGCTGGGGGTAGGTTCTTCTTCTCCAGGCGCTTCATGTCATAGTATGCGAATATTGGCTGGAAGTCGCACTTGGAGAAGTCCTTGATATTGACCTTGTTACCCTTGGAATCCGTTGCGCCGCCTGTCTTCTTCAGGACGTCTTGGAAGTCCATGAAGAAATTCTTCTGGAAAGTAGGGTTTTCGACATGCTGAGTCGCATTCAACATGCTTCCAAAGAAGCCTGCCACCTCTTCCGCATCAGGGTGAAGATTGACTGGAACACCATCGTATTTCAATTTGACATCCTTTGGTAGGGGTTCGTACGGCGGGGGAAAGACGACGCCGTTGTGTTCGAGGGTTGTCCACTTATTCGTTCCATCACCCTTCGTGGGATCTTCCCACCACTTGTATTCTTCTTCTTCAGCCTCCTCGGCCTCTTCGCTTTCTTCCTTCTTCATTGGTGTAGCTTTCCCACTCCCTTTCTTCACGGGGGTAGACTGCGCGGACTTCGGTTCTGTCTTCACCTTTGCTGTAGATGCCCTCTTCACAGGCTTCTTATCATTTGCTGGCTCCTTTTTGATGCCGTTGGTCGGCTTTTTGTTCGCTGCCGCCTTCGTGGACTCTTGCTTGCGACTAGCTTGGGCGTCTTTTTCTGCCTTCTGCTGAATTCTCTTCTTCTGAGAAGCAAGTTTCCTTTCAATGGGGACATCGGAGTCGGACTCTTCAATAATAGAAGTTTCCGCCGCCTTTGGCAGCTTTCTCCCGTTGAGCGCTAGAGGTACATCTTCATCCGTTTCCGGATCTTCATGCTTGATAGAAGTGCGACGGCGCTTGCTCTGTCGAATAGTCAGCTGCTGAAACTAACACTGACAGCGCCGCAAAGTAAGGGGGTTTAACGTAGGGAATGGCGCGGGCTGGCTCTGGCGTACCAAGGGCTGATCATCCTCTTCACTGCTCTCTGGTTCCGCGTAGGATTTTCTTTGACCAACACTGGTTCGCGCTTTTCTTTTGCTGAGGGCGCCATTGTCCTGAGCTTCCGCATCCGTCATCTGAACATCATTGTCCTTCTGCACGGGTCCAAAACGGTTCGAGATGCCAGGGTTGACATCGCCATTTGTCTCTGTCGCATCGCCCATGATCACGCTGGGGGTAACTAGATGAGACTATATGTAAGAATAACCTATTCTTGACGGAGTTTTCTAGTCCAATAGGAGCGGATCTCAGATCGTACTCAAGGGCGTGAGGACTTGAAGTGATGCGAAAACCGCAAACAGGCTGTCGCTAGACCCAGGACATGTAGGAGAACTCACCAGTAGATCGACCGTTTGCTTTCACAAGTGGGGTATCGTCATCTGAGGAGCTCATGGTGCTTGGATACGAGTGAATGGGCAAGCGTTGGTTAAAGAACGAAGAGTACAGGCGAGTTCGGCAGGGAAACCTATAAACCGGAACTGGCCTGCCCAGTCGGAAGAGTAACACTGGCGCTTGACAGAAGGATGAAGTCAGAGAGAATCTAACCAATGGAAAGGGTGAGAGGAGAGCAGATGTCAGGAGAAGAGTAAATACATTGACTGAAGAGGGGGTAGAGATGGCAATAATGAGAAGAGTGAGACAAGAAAGGGAAAGGGCTGACAAGCTGAGAGAGGAAAAAGAGAGGAAAGAAAGGAATGCAATGGAAAACGAGGCCGTCTTTTGGGGCCTGAGGCGATCCCTCACGTTTCTCCGGACCAGCCAGTCTGGTTGCGAGGCCGGCCACTGCCTGAGGCGACCAACCCAAAACACAGCGTCATTGACACAGTCTACTCCGAGGCTGGCTGAGCGTCGATGCCTGCATGCCTGAAGAGGAATGCCGGGAATTTCGGGTTAAAGGTTTGTGCGTACTGCGCATCTGGCTTTTCAAGTCTCCCCGACAACCTTCCCGTTCAGGCATAGTGCGGCTTTGTTCCCGTTCTGCCGGCTGTCGGACGAACAGAAACAGGAGTCCAAGTCAACGTCTTCTCTTCCCGCTAAAGCAGAGGTCTCACTACCCACCCTCGCGGCTCTCCCCTCTGCAGCTTTCCATCGCTGGTCATTATATCTTGACCTTACGGTCCGATCTCAGAATGTTCTCTCGTGCTGTTCGCCCGGCCGTCAGGGCCGGTAGTGCTGTTGTCACCCGGTGAGTTCTCTTCCGGACCTCTTCACACCAACCTGGGCACCTTCCAAAACAGACCTCCAATCATCCGCGAAGAGAAGAGAAAACCTTGGGATTCTAGGATGATTGCGTTCAACACGGTGGCTAGTTACTAATTTCTTTGTGAAGCACTGCTCCTCCCAATGCCGCCAACTTCGCGACTCTGCGTGAAATCGAGGGCCGTCTCAAGTCCATCAAGAACATTGAAAAGATTACCAACACGATGAAGGTCATTGCTTCTACCCGTCTTACCCGCGCTCAGAAGGCCATGGGCGAATCTCGCAACTACGGTGAGACCTCCAACACCGTTTTCGAGAAGGCCGAGACCAAGCCCCTCGAGGACAAGAAGACTTTGCTCGTCGTCGCCAGCTCCGACAAGGGTCTTTGCGGTGGTATCCACTCCGGTCTGAGCAAGGCTACCCGCCGTATCCTCCAGGAACACGCCGACGCCGACATCGTTGTTCTTGGTGAGAAGGCCAAGGCTCAGCTCTCCAGAACCAACCCCAAAGCTCTCGTCCTGAGCTTCGCCAACGTCTGCAAGGACATCCCCACCTTCGCTGATGCCCAGGCCGTTGCCGACCAGATTGCTCTGCTGCCCGCCGACTATGCCAGCGTTAAGATCATCTACAACAAGTGGCTCAACGCCCAGAGCTACGAGCCCGCCACTGTTGAGGCTTACTCCGAGGAGGCCATCACCAAGTCCGGTTAGTGTTTCACCATCTGCTCATATAAAAGTCTAGTATGCTGAACTCCCTTCCAAAGCCAACATCTCCTCTTTCGAGATTGACGACCAGGCTCTTGCCAACCTCCGTGAATATGCTCTTGCCAACAGCCTGTTCTGGGCTATGGCCGAAGGCCACGCTTGTGAGATTTCTGTAAGTTCATTCCCGATATAATGTGAATATCCGAATCATTACTAACCCACCGATCTACAGGCTCGTCGTAATGCAATGGAGGCAAGTATCACCTGAATAGCTGAGGTGCTCGTTGACCTAAACTAACCAAATTTCCCTTTACAGAACGCCTCGAAGAACGCTGGTGAGATGATCAACAAGTGAGTACCGCTCAGCACTTAAATTGGGGTCCAAAATCTAACGTCCGGCAGGTTCCAGATTCTGTACAACCGTCAGCGTCAAGCCGCCATTACCGGTGAGCTGGTTGAAATTATCACCGGTGCCACCGCCAGTGCGGACATGTAGAAGCTTTCATGATGCTTCAGTGGGAAGGAGTCGACATGTGTGTAGACTTACTCTTAAATACCTAGCTAGATTTTTATCAGCCTGTAAATCAGTCTATCCATCTTTCTTTTGTCCCGTTTCTCCTTCTGGCCAAGTATTGTAACTTTTTCTCATTGCTCTTTTTCACCATTTTCCTACCTCCTTGTCTGCTGCCTATTATCATTCCCCCATTTCTGATATTGTTGTTTCGGAATTCACCGTTTCATGTACAAGGTGGTGCTTTTCCGAGACTGGGCACATGATATCCCCAGGTCCGAGATGGGCAACAACCGTAACAACAAACGAGGTGAATCAAACGGAAAGTCCACTACTTGTCTCAAATGCAAACAGCGACTGTTTCTTTTCACTCCAGCCCAAGTGCAGACTGTCCCTTCATTTTTCCCTGCCTACTCAGGTGTAGACAGTGAATACGTACTCTGCATTTATATAGAGCTTCCAGTCTTCATTTCCCCCTTCATGAAACTCACATACATCTCTCAACATCTCATTCGCTCTACTTCTTGGAACAACGGTTGTCGCAAGCTAGAAGAGTACCGAATCCCCTCGGCCCTAACTGTCAGCACATTGCCATAAATAGATCACCCTCCATGGCCTCCACAATCAGAAGAACAACGATGAACTGCTACGAGATCCTGGGCATAACTCCAGATGCAGACTTGAAAGATATCAACAGCGCCTACAAAAGACTCGCTTTAAAGTACCACCCTGACAAGACAGGTGCAGATGATGCCTACCTCGAGTTTCAGAAGGTATAGTACAATCACAATTCGCCGTTTCTTTCACATATTCCTCTCATATCTCATCCTACTTCTCAGTCACTTGACTCAGCTTATACTGACACGACCATGTACCTTGAAGATCCAACAAGCCGTCGAAATCCTCCGTGATAGTAGCCGCAGGGGGAAACACGACGCAGAACTGCTGAGCAGACGTATTCTTAGAGAACCGGCCATCAATCTTTCTAAACAGGACACTTCTTCTTCTTGGGGATGGGCAGCTTCGAGTCCTGATTTGTCTGCTCTACGTAGTATGAGCGGGCGGTATATGTTTAGTTATGCGAATAGCGTCCACATGGATCCTTATTCTCCAGAATCGCAGGAGGAGATTAGGCGATGTGAGCGGGAACGCGAGTATGGAGAGCAACTGAAACGAGAGTGTGAGCAGTGGGAGGCTTATGAAGGGGACCCGGATTTTTCGGGTTATACCTGGACATACGATCCGGAGACTGAGGAAATGATGAGACAGAATAGAAGGAAGGAAGCTATGCGTGCCAGGGTAATGCGTGATGAAGGACAGACGGAGAGGGGGGAGATGTTGGATGAAGAGGATGAGCAGAAAGGCTGTGCTGAGGAGGGCGGTATGGCTGGTACTAACCCGGGTTCTGAATTTGAGGAAGAAATAGATGACGAAGAATATCAACAGTATGAGAAAGGTGAAGAGAATGAAGGCGAGGAAAAATACGAGGGCGGAGAAGAATATGAAGAGCAGGAATATGAGGAAGGGTATGAAGAAAACTATGAAGAAGAGGGATATATAGGAAAAGAAGATGTTGAAGAAGGCAATGGATACGATCCATATGGAGGAGACGACCAAGAGGAGGACGACGATCCTGCCTTCTCAGTTACCTCTACACAACAAACCCAGGCCGAGTATGAAAGCGCACGACAAGCCCCAGCCTCTGACAGTGAGGATCTGCTTGACATGACAAGCGTTGGAGAACCAGTCAACCCGGTGGATGAAACAGGAATTATCCCCGAGGAGTCAGATACTGATGAAAATGAAACTTTCCACAGTTTCAGTGACGGAGAAGTCTGCTTTAATGGCGACAACGTATCTTCACAAGCACCGCCCGTTGATGAATCTTCACGAAGCCCACGTTCCCTCGTTGATCCTTTAATCCCGCACTTCCGGGAGAAACTACATCATCCTAGCGGTCAATATACGGAAGAAGATGTTCACACTGAGCTCAGAGGCCTTGTTATGGAGTCCTTCTGCGGCTGGCTGGAGACTCTCCGGCTAGAGTTTCCCGGAGCAGAATCAGCAGCAACTGCCCAGGTGGATCCAGAGCATTGTCGCCATCTGGGTTATTGGAACAAGGAATTTGGATCATTTGAATGTGAAATGTGCCATCGGTGGATGCCCATCTACACCCTTTCTTGCCCAGCGTGTGGGATCAGGGCGTGTGTTGACTGCAAGTTTCACTACAAGGAGTGACTTTTGCCCGCTATCTTCTTGTTACAATCTGTTTGAGTTCCCACAGTTGGCCAGTTCAGGTATGCTTGATGATGCATAACAATACCCTTGTATTCAGTTGTTGTTATGAAGGAAATAATAATGACTTGTGCCATATTCAATCGTGGGGATTTGATTCTTCGTTGAGTACGAATATAGGCATATCACAATACTCCTTCAAATCAAGATACATCAATCTTACATGCCCCAGAAGAATATAGTTCCTCGACGCGCTAGTATAGTCTGGCATGGGAAATGCCTTCGTGTAGACAACACCTGATCCGGGATCTTTGTATTGTGGTCATGTTTTATTGCTAAACAGTATACGGGTGACCTACGGATACCGGAGGAAGGCCGAGTATATCTTAGCAGTCTCACCCAAGGAAAGTACAACCATTATTATTCTAAGATATATATACTCTCCACTGGAGGATACTACTTTCTAAATGAGAGTCAGAAGCTTAGCATTTCTTAGGTTAGCGTAAATTTACCCAGGTAGTTTCTGCGCTATCTTAACTCTGGTCTTACGAGTCAGAACCCCAGGGCAGAAGCTCTCGATCCCCCGTGCATGCTCTACGATTACTCCACTATATGAATCTTGCACATAGCGCAATGCAGGGGTCCAGTGATGTATACAAGTGGATGCAACCACCGAGTCCTTCTTTCATCGGCATAAATGGCATTGTCAATTTCGATTTTCTCTCATTTGGCCTCTGGCGCTGTCCCCAGAGACATGTATCTTTGCTCACTATTTTCAGCTGATCTGGGTGTAAGGAGGAAGAATTTAGGGTATGGTGCCTTTCCAGATAGTGAACCAGTCCTGTCTAATGGTTGCAGTAGATGGGTATATTCTTTCCTTTGGAGCCATGAGACATTCTTGTTTCAATAGAATCTAAGTAAAGACTTCCTGTGGGAATACCGGTGTTTTTATTTCCCTCCTTTCATGATACATGTCCGGTAATAAAGCGGGAAGTTGAAGGTCTGGCTTGTTTAGAAATCCACACGACACCTATTCGACTCGATGTCTGCAATATATATGGAACTTGGCCACGCGATATAAATAAAGACTTTAACATTTTTTTTTTCTTTTTCCTTTTTACTTATCGAATCTATAGATGACAAGTTCGCGGTTCGCATTCTCACCAACCAAGTGCCTTTCATTTCCACAAATCCTTCCTTTACCTATGAGCTCGAAAATTTCCTCATGCTTCAATGTTTTAGTTGAGGATGGAGTTCGGATGCTCAGGAACATTTTCAAATCAAACGGCCATGTACTAGGTGACAAATGGAGGCAGAATCCAACCTCGGCCTTCTCATCATATGCCTCAGAGACGACAGCATACCATGGCTCATCGCAGATGGCAAATGTGAGGGGTTTTGTTTGTAGACTATTGTTCCCACGGTAGGGAGGAAGCGCTTGAGTATCAACCCGCCTCCAGCAGGGTCCTTTGCCGGATATTGGAATGCTAGTAATTTGCACCTGTGACGTCCATTCCGTCGGTGCAACCAGGCGATCGACTGGCCCTGTACATAAGTTCTCGACTATATCTATGGATTGATTGTCCTCACTAATGTTCAGACATTGCACACCCGGGAACCCTCGCTGTCTGACAGAGTAGAACCCTAGTTCCCTGAACCCAAACCGTGTGATAATAGACGGACCATTATCCTGGCCTGCTTCACGCAGACGTCCGGTTGGGTCCAAGGAAGGCCGGTAATCTGATGGCTGTGAGATATCCCAGACCGACAGCGACTCGATTGGAGCATCGTCATCTGCAGTGTATAAACTGCGATTGGGCTGCCAGATATAGATGGCATAATGTGTTTCGCTGTGAGTGGAATAGAAGCGATCCCTCTCGCTTAGTGGGTGACCAAGAAACATGATCTTCCACTCGTTCCGAAACTTGATACTCCATCCACTAGCACCTTCTGTCACGTCAAATGATGAAGCAAAGTGGCGATGCACTCCGTCACTATCATTTAACCAATGGAAGGCTTTGGGTTCTGCCCACTCCACAACGAGAACTCTTTTCTGTAGTCGAATTCGACGAATCACTTTGCCTGTGATAATGAAGGGAACCATGTATTTCCGGTCACTGTCTAGGTCCAAGAGCACAAGGCATGAGTGATCTGCGCTCGGAAACACTATCAGACCATCTTCATACGACCAAAACGACTCTGGGAAAGGGCAATCAACGCGCTGCATTAGGTGACTAGCATGGTTTTCCCAGGGTTGCACGTGAAACCATTCTCTTTCCCCAGATATGCCGAAGTCATCACAAAGTTTGTGCTTCTGGATAGATTTGGGTTTCCCCTGGCTAAGATGATCATACCTAGAGGCAAGCTGATCAAAGAGCCTGCACCAATAGATATCGTCCGCTGTAGTCTCCAGCACGCAGTCAATATCTTTACCCTGAAGCTCCCTGACCTCTTTCGCCAAAGGAAAGAACGTCCTCAAGAGTGGGATAAGATTTGCGGGGTTTCCGAAACTCTGGCTCCAAGATTGGGAAACACGGCGGCAACGGACGATGTCCCTGGGACTGAGATAATTCAAGATCATCCAGAAAATCTCTCGTGGTAGCATAGACATTCCCAGAGCCTCATGGCCCTGCGTAGTTGCTGGGGTGTCAACCATGCCCACTGCCATGGTGAACGTGGGGGTGGGGTATACAGCTTGTTTTCACGGACGTGCAAGAGAGTTAAGCATTAATAACTTCAAGTTCATTTTTAAAAATATAGGCGAGGCGGTCCTGAGCCACTTTTCAAGCTCCCATGAAACGCGAAGGGTTTCTGAGAGGGCATGGGGGTGACTGGACTGCACCCCCACGTCGCACTTTGTA